GGAGAGAAAGTTTAGTGGGAGCAGAATGTCAGCTTTTCAGTATGTATGTGTTGGTTCTCAAGAAGACAGAGCAAGTCTTTACTGAGATGCATGACAAGAGGATGGAAAAAAATGGCTATACATTGAAAGAAGGGAGGTTCTAACGACATAAAAAGTACAAACCAGGAGCTGGGAGCATGGGGAGGGTGTACAGGCCAGTGTAGGCAGTTGACTGGAAACAGGTACCTAATTTATTCTTTACATTAACTTTATGCCCACAATCTATCACATACCCACACTCCAGCCCATTCAGAACTGTTTCTTTCCTGCTTTTTTTTAAATGACACTTTCTGCTAAAATTTGGTTAAAATATTTTTAGATTTAAGAAAAAAAAAAAAAAAAGTCAAATAAGAAGAAAAAGAAAGTCAAATAAAACCCAAAACCAAAAACAAACAAACAAAAAGAAAACAACAAAAAAACACCATTGGAAAAAATGCTTTAGCTGCAGTTTGACCTGCAGCCGGCCAAATAATAACAAAAAACTCATGCTGTAGATTATCATAATTTAGAAATTAGATACACCAAACACTGGCAGCAGCACACATTTCTTCAAAGTCAAAGCTCAGCTCCTGTGCTATAACCATGACATCAGACATTAGAAAATCCTTGGGACATGGCTTTGCCATGGTCTCGCTGTAGGAATCTATCCTCCTGATTAAGAAGACTTTTTCAGGTGACCAAAGGCAGCAACTGAATTTTTGTTAGGACAGATTGCAGCTCAGACAGACAGGGATTTCTCCAGTTTCTCAATAGAGACAAACCTCCCTTACCTCAATCCTGTTCTGCTCAGCAGCCTGATTTACTGTCTGTTCAAACAGCCACGGGAGTTCTTCCCTGTCTCAAAGGAGCTCTATGAAATAGATTCATTAAGCCGTGTTAAGTGCCATGAGATTCTTGCGTAGTAAAATTTTAGAAGTGCAGAGAGCACTGTCATCTAACAAGGAGCCTCCTCTGTCCGACAGATGTGTGGTACACATTTGTGTGTTGTGTTGAAGAAACCCTATCTGTTCTAGGACTTCCGAGATTTATTTCTATTTGAGAGTGTTTTCTGTGCTCCCCAGCCATGCACACATTGAAACAACCCATACAACAGCCTCTGGGCTGTTAAGAAGGGAAATTTTAACTAAAAACATGAGAATAAATCCTACTGCCAGTAAAGAAAGTCCTATGGAGGATAGGCAAAGTGCTTGATGGGATTTAATAAATCCATATATGAGTTTATGATATATATAGGTGTCACTTACCTGACTCCATCAGGACTCCTGAACAGCCAGAAATATACTCTGAAACCAGATTCACATGTTTGATAGCTGTACCTAATCCACTACTCCTTGCAGAAAAGTATTAGGAAGACATTTTCAGTGTTATAAACTAGATTGGCAATCTCCCACAAGTATTTGTACTGTCCACAATGCACAGAGAGGGAGAAGTGACAGATGTGGCTCCCATGTTGTGAGAGGGAGCTCAGTCTCCTCTGGCCCTGCCCTGAACACTCCATTTCCAGGATTTGCTCACGCAGTCTGTCCCTACAGAGAGACAGGGCTAATGCTGCTCCTCCTGCTGAGCTCGTGTTGGGCAGCTCCTTAGGAGTCACCCGCCATCCCAGCAGCTGGGTGACAGCCATGTTTACCTGGAACGTGGGCACTAGCACAGGACGGTGGCTACACTAATAAACCCTGCAGTGTGAGGGCAAATAAAGTTTTCCCATCACACTGGAAGTTGAGTATATCGACACGCTTTGTTCACAGCAAGCTGTGCAAAGCTGTTGTTTTAGGATGCAGATACAGAACATCCAGACTTATTTTCAAAGGTGCTATGTATCTGCAAAATCTTCTGGGTTTGACAGAAAAAAAAAAAAAAAACAACAGGCTACTACTGCTACTTAAGTGCCAACATATGGATTTCAGGCTCTAATTGCATGCACCATGGCCTGACTAAATTGCTGCCTGGAGCTTTGCCAAGACAGATTCTTTCACTTAGCAAAAGCTGGATCTACGCTGCTGTTTTGAAGCTGTAGTGCACATCCCAAGGCGGCATGGAGCTATGGAGTAGGTATATCTCAGGTGGTTCAGCCTCCGTGCACATAACTCTGGTTGACATCGCACTGTCCTCTGCTACACTGAGATACTGCAGAAGAGACATAGCCTTAGATATCAGCTCCTTTCCAGAACCTATTACCTGTGCCCTTATCCGGTTACTCGTTTAATCAGGATCTGATTTTCAGAATCATATGTTCAAATCAGTATGGAAATGGACAGAAAAATGGACTGTTCTGAAACTGGCTGCATCAGCAAAGTGCCTGAGAACTGAGCTCTTTCAAAAAATTACTCCCTAAAATCAAGATGTTACAATATTCCAGAAACTTCAGAATTTCCAGAAGAATGTCCTGATCTGAATTAATAACTCCACTGAGCTCCATGATCAGTCACAGTTCTCGGGGATGATTGGGTCACTATCCTCTATGATTAATCAGACATTCTTATATAATATTTTTTAATTTTTGGTCTATGAAAAACCTACCATCTAGACAGCTTTGCAGTGAAGAGCATTACAGCACAGAGCACTACCACAGCAAAGCTTTCTTCTCCCCGTAGCACAAGAAGCAAAACTGCAGGCGGTTTGAAGGGACCCTGGAAGTACAGTGACCTCCAAGGCTCAGAGCCTCCTTGTAAAATGGGGGTGTAGTTCTGTTTCCCTGCCAAGCAGCTGACTGAAAGAAATAAAAAGCAATAGAAAAGCTGCTATATTTGTTACAGTTTCCTTCTGTGAGCGAAAGGCTTAACTACTGACTGAGTAGCACTGCTTTAGCTAGAAAATGGACTTCTTTTTTAGCAAATGGGGGGGGGATGCAGAATTATATGTGTGCATATCCTTATTCTGGTTTATCTCAAATAAAATAATTCCTGCTAGAATAAACCAAGACAAGAATAGCTATTCCAGCCCACATGGTTCTGCAAGAAATGTTCCAGAATAACTACAGGGAGGACATTCTTATTACCAAATCAAAGTGCTCTTTTTGAGTGAGGATATGTGAACCAAACCATGTGGGTATGTGGGCATGTAATCAAAAGTTACAAAGCCGCCGAGTCTTAACAATGCTCAGAGCATCCATTGCACCTCGGTGACAAAACAAGCCCCTCAGCCAACTCCATTATTTAAAGCTGTTCATTTAAATCACCACAGTGGAAATTAAATTCCACATTTCCAGTATAAGGCACTTTAATGCATGTTACCACCTAGCAGGATGGTTAAGGATGCATCAGCTGTTTCCTGAGAGACTTGTTCAGCCACAGCGCTTCCCAGCCACGTGCCTACACCCATAGGCAAAACTGAAAGGCGTTAGCCAAAGCTCCCTGTCAGGATACTCTTTCCAAACAGTGTAGAAGAGGTTTTACTTTTGTTTAAATGAAAATAAAATACTGTGATTTATTTAATAAAGACATGCTTCAGCTCCCCAGATACAAGCACCTAGAGCCCTGAGATGCCAGGGCATCCCACCTGCTCTTCCCTGGTGGAAGGTCAGTAAGACATGAGTCTCCGTAAGTCCCCTGTTTCAGATGGCCCAGCTGGTTGTGAAAGGCACTGTGGACATATGGTTAGGCAGCAGTCTGGCCCAGACAAGAAATTACACCAGTTTACAATGGGAGACAAGCCACAGAGAGACACTGGTCCAGTGTCTGCATTAAAGAAAAAAGAGAATGTACATCTATGAAATCCCAAGAGATAAGGGTTAAAAATAAATAAATAAATAAATAAATAATAAAAAAAATTAGTCTGTTTTTACAAGACTGTCTATTTTGCTATTGGCATCTGAGCCTTTAAAATTTGTCTTATTCCACAACATTTTTTTCAAAACAGTCATTTGCCTTTGAATTCTCACAGACATAGTCTGTGGTCAGAGAAACATTTGGGGAAAATGTAAAAAATTAATTGATTGGGCTGTTTTTAATGTTTCCCTTCGGAATCTCAACTACTCAACTATTGCTTTTCAGATGGTTTTGTCAGGCTGTACTCCAAGATCAGCTTTAAATTGAATCTACTGGACACAAATTCCAGTCATCGAGAGCAGAAATTTGAAGTCTTCCCTTTGTCATTTATGAAGCAATCACAGGAAAAAGCTTCCATAACCTTTCTTCATTTCTTTTCAGATATTATCAGGATCTATACTTCTATGGGAGTAAGAAGTAAATTTGGGAATAATTACTCAAGGTAGATAGCAACATATGAAAAATACCACAAAAGACAGGACTTTGGACAAAATAAATCACACAAAAAGGGCTATTAGATATTATTAAAAGTTTTTAATATTTAGGAAAAACTGTAGGTCAACATGTCATTGTGCAACACTTGAGGAGTACTAACATGCCACAAATACACCATCTCAGGAGGACTGCAGTCAGAAGAGCTTAGAAGAAAGTTTAAAAGAGAAAAAAGTAGGAGAAGTGAGGATTCAGAACTTGAGTAAGTTCAGTCAGAAAGTCCCGTGAACGCCCTGTACATGTATTTCTGTGATACTTGCATAAAAGAGAAATATGTGTCTTATTAGTACTTTTGGTTATCAAATTCAATGAGTTTTGGAGAAGATGAAACATGCTATGAACAGGAAAGGCATGCAAATCCCTAGACTGTAGTAAAGAGCTCAGGCTGATACTGAAGTACATTGTCCATTTGTGTCAAATTCTCTGGTGGTATAAAAAGACTCATTTGATAGAAATAAAAGGTCCATTACAGTCCCAGTAGGACCCTGGGAATTAACTGGGCAACACAACAGCTATTCTGCATGTGCACAGTGTGCTGCTCTCCCCAGAATACGTTATCAACGTGCTCTATCAACATCCTTAATCTGGGATTGTCAGAACATCTCTTATTAAAAAACATGGTTTATGCCTCTCCCTATATCTTTCTGTTCGGTTTTATAAATAACACCCTTTGAAAAACCTGTGTTCTCCCCTTATCTCTAGGTGGCGAATTTGCTCAGACTCTTCCAGATCCCCCAGATCAGCTATGCCTCCACCAGTGCCAAGCTGAGCGACAAGTCCCGCTACGACTATTTCGCACGGACAGTGCCCCCTGACTTCTACCAAGCAAAAGCCATGGCTGAAATCTTACGGTACTTCAACTGGACTTACGTGTCAACAGTTGCTTCAGAAGGAGACTACGGGGAGACAGGGATCGAAGCCTTTGAGCAGGAAGCTCGCCTCCGCAACATCTGCATCGCCACCTCCGAGAAAGTAGGCCGGTCCAACATCAGGAAGTCCTATGATGGTGTGATCAAAGAGCTGCTCCAGAAACCCAATGCCAGAGTGGTGGTGCTCTTCATGCGCGGCGATGACTCTCGGGAGCTCATTGCAGCTGCCAACCGCTTCAATGTTTCCTTTACCTGGATTGCCAGCGATGGATGGGGAGCACAAGAGAGTATTGTCAAGGGCAATGAGCACATAGCTTCTGGGGCAATAACCTTGGAACTGGCTTCCCATCCAGTTAAAGAGTTTGACAAGTATTTCCAAAGCCTCAGCCCGTACAGTAACAGACGCAACCCCTGGTTCAAGGACTTCTGGGAGCAAAAATTCCAGTGTAATCTCCAGAACCGAAAACCACATAAAAAGGCTTGTGACAAGCACTTCACCATCAACAGTTCCAACTACGAGCAAGAATCCAAAATCATGTTTGTTGTGAATGCCGTATATGCGATGGCCCATGCCTTGCATAAAATGCAGAGGACTCTGTGTCCTAACACCACGAAACTCTGTGATGCCATGAAGCATCTGGATGGCAGGAAGCTGTACAAAGATTATCTCCTGAAAGTAAACTTTACAGGTAATAACTTCTCTCTTGGTACATACAGAATGTCACTGTAATTAATGAAATGTTCATCGGTCACGGTAAGAACCAGCTGAATTCCGAGTAGCACCTATTATTACAGTTCAGACCAGGGTGGTACCCAGGCAAGGCCACTCCTGCCACAAGAAGGCAGAAAGAAGAAAGACAGGGAGATTGGTCAGAATTCTATAAAAACAACTCAGTGCTCCTCCTGTTTCCAGCAGAAGCAAGAGGTGGAGGTGACAACAGCTAGTTTTGGAAATGTTACCCTCTATCCTCTAAACTACCACACACCAACTTGCATTTCATTCACAGACAGTTTGGCTTCAGCTGGGCACGTCTGGAGGCCAATGATCTTTTCACCACCTGCTACACTAGGCAACTGCCTGCTATGCCTATGCCAAGACCTGGCCTTCCCTTCCTTGTTTTATTATGAATTTACATAATATCTGGAGCATGGTCAATGGCCAATGTCCTTGCAATGGTAAAGCAATGATTCCTGCCCTAGAACCAGATCAATATAAAATATTTAAATATGTAGGATAGTGCCATTAGTCTTGATGACAAAGTATAAAAAGCTAGGTTAAACACATGTAGGAGACGTGGAGAGAAAGTGAATGATCTGGCAATAATATGAGCAAACTTCATGGGGACTGGCTGCACAGCACACGGCTTCTCTGTGGTTTTGCCATCACATATGCCTGAGCTTAGATTTCTTAATAATATTACACCATAGCAAAGCTAAATAGATCTACGGAAGAACCAAGTGTAGAGCATCATGTCTTTTTGTTGTTACGTGTCTAACTTTCTTTTGAAGCATCTAGGTTGAGCTTGCATTTCTATGTATTATTAAACTGATATTCTCAGCTGACCGAGTTGATTTAAGGAAACATCATGCTGTGCTGTATATGAGAAATAGCTCCAAGAGGTATTGAAGGATAAATACGTGTATGATACAACATGCTCAGTCCCAAGGGACCCTCAATAACACTGGAAACTATGTGAAACTGTCTAATTGGAGATTGAACTTTTCCCTCCCATCTCTAGATATTACCAACCACATCCCTAGTGCTTCTCTCACTCTCAGTGGGTTATGGCTGGTGTAGCCAAGTACTCCATTTTCTTGGGTGCTTGTAGGGATACCTGCCAGCACATACTGCATAGCTCCTTAGGGCCCCTGGTCATCCAGAATCCTGCTAGCTGTCTAGCTGAATTGTTCAGAGCACATCAGGGATTCCTGCATCCCATATGACTGGATTTCTTTACCATGGAAATCAAGAAGGGGCAGATGGAATTGGTCACTTGCTGCATCTTATCTCTCAGGAGGGGATTCAGGAGGACCCAGGATCTTGGACATGCTCTGGTAATATAGATTCAGTCACAAAGGAAAAATAATGTGAGAAAGATGGAAGTTGAGATGCTTCATAAACCCTCATCTGAGTGTTGCATGCAATGCAGCTGAAGCCACATGGCTGGCCTGAGCAACACGATGCTTGTGTGCATTGTGCTGTTTGGTCTCCTTCCTATAGACTGCTGCATCAGTAAGAATAGTCAGATACCATGACATATACAGATGCATAGGCAATGTATACATGTCATGCTGTAATTGCACTTTATTAATTTCACAAGCAGCACAAGACAAAATGAAACAACCTTCTCGGTTTTAGACCTATAGAAAATAATCATCATTTCTCCTCCCCCTCCACACAGCACTTAACACATATTTTCTCATTTGCCTACACTTTTCCTCAGAGATGCTTGAATGCCTTCAAACTGTTGAAATCAAAAGGTTTTAGGAGCTCTGGTAGAAGCTGGGTCCTGGCATCCTGATGGCAAGGGATGGCAGTGGTGTGCAATGTGCTCCTGCCCCTGCCAAGGAGACACTTGAGGACAGTAACAACAAGTGAGGCACCTAAATGAGTAGCCACTGCAATAACTTTAATTATTTTGAAACTTTTTCTGACACTCTAGGTATTTTTATGGGCTTAAATGCATACAATATTAATAGAGTCCAGCTTTAGTCTGTCACTAAGCAATCTTGGTTCCAGTACATGATTCCAAATAATTTTTCTACTGTACAAAGATTTTTTAAGCACCCAAGTGTTTTCCCACTCAGTATTTAGACAGAAAGCCAAAATAGCCACAACTTTCTTTGACCAAAACTCCAGGAAAAATTTAATTTAGATACAGCCAGAAAACTTCATTTTCATTTTGACTGAAATATCTTTTATACTTTTTATGAATTCGAAGTTGAAGCTGTTCAAGTTGAAAAAAAAAAAAATAATCAAAGCCCGTCACTTTGAAACTTTGAAAACAGAAGTCTTTTAAGAACCAATTTAATTTGCTTTAAAATCAACATGGAAATCTTTGAAACTTTGAAGAGCTTTAGTTTCAGCTAATTTTCATTTCCAATTTAAAACATTAAAAATCCTGTCAAGTTCTTTTCCAATGGTTTTGTTCTGTATATATTATTACTAGCTTACAGCATGCTTTACTCATCTGTTTCTTTGTTATCAGTTCTTCTATTAAAATGTGAATCCATGTTTTAATGTCAGTGATATTTTAAACAGATGAGTGATTTTTATGTAGGAAGAGAAGCAGCAAATCTCCTATGCCTTCTTCCTTTCAGAAAGGTGTGAAATTGTAATACATACAAGTCTTGTCATTGATTTCCATGGGACCAAGAATTTGTCTTTGCTCTTTTCTGGTTGAAGAAATTCTTTCAGTGTGTTGTTAATGTCAGGACCCTGCTGCATGATACATTTGATCAGTGATGCTCTCATATTTCCAGCTCCAAATCTGAGAATAGATGCAGAGAGAGGATGGTGTGGAAGGTACCAGCCCATCAGGTACACTGCAACTAAGTAAGGTTGTGAATTTTCTCTCTTTAGCTTAGGTAGCGATCCACACCCACCAAAAGGATGCAGGTGAGAAACAGAACAGATCCCTGCATGCATAAACCTGCAGCTTACCATGACAGAAATCTGACAAATGGCCCTGAGTGTATGCTCCCAGTTTCCAGGAACAGGTAATGGTGCATTTCAAACACACCAGCCTGAGTAAATGATAGGGTGCATTGATATGGCTGGTGTGGGACTGTGCAATTTTAGACATTTACCCTACACACTTGGATTAGTTTTGGTTAGTATCTGATTACAGTCAATGGAGCAGATCAGCACTTACAGAGTGTGGTTCAGCCCATGTGAAGTAGCCCATGTGAGATATGATTTGCCCCTACATCTCTTGCTATTTACTGCAGATAGAGCATAGAACAACTAAGATTCTCACTTGCCATTTAGCTGAAAGCCTGAAGTGAGACTCAGGCACAGCAGTAAGGGAATCTGTAGGGAAATACTCAGGGACCAGCTAACAGCATGTTTGGAGCAGAGGACTTGCCAGGATTTGTGCACTCTCGTGCTGCCACTGATGTTGACATGTTGCGTGGCCAGTATTTCATTAATATCTCTGTGGTCCTACTATTTCTCCTTTTTCATTAAATTGAAATCCTTCCATAGAATTGCAGTGTGGCACAAAGGCAGGGTGAGATTTTATTCCTTAGTGTCTGTGCAATACACTGAGCACATAATTTTCTTGCAAGACAGTAAGACATGTATGACAAATGTCATGATGTCCTCAATCTTTTCAGTAAGGGTGCCTGATTCCCACTTCCAGCAGCAGGATCGGAGAATGCAAAGCCCATCCCCTAGATAAACACACTCACTCCATCTCAGTGCTTGTTTGGCCTTTCAAAGAGATATAGGCTGGTTCATCTTCTTGATCTTCCCACCCTCTGTGTTCCCTCCTGAGGGCACAAGTGCAGCACTTGATGTTCTGAATTGTGATGCTCTTTGCTGATAAAGAGATGTTGGTTCAAGAGGCTGTTAGCTTGTATTATCAGAACAACAAAGTGCTGAAAAAAAAGGAAAGGGCTCCATGGGAGAGAGCACAGAGTAAAAACTTCTCACTATCTCCCAAACATTTCTTGGTGGAGAGTAGTATGTGGAGGGGACTCTTAGGAGGGCTGTGAATCCAGAGATGAACCCCAACACGAGGCAGAGCTCCACATATCCAGAAACATCGGGTCTAAGGGGGTCCCTCCCTCAAAGGGGTGGAGGGACCAGTGCGGCAACAAGCTCTGTTGTTTTAGCTCCTTTAGGCCACCAGGATGAAACAGAAAAGCAGTGTTATCCTTGCCCACAGCACTATTTGACATGTGCCAGGACAGTGAACGTTAGCACAGGCAGTATGAAAAGAGTGTCCATCATTTGGGATAAAGAGGCAGGGTCCTGCACATCTGCACCCCACGTGTTTCTACCTGGTGTAACTGCTCCTCTGGGGCATCGGGCTCCAAGTTGGCCAGGGCTGAGGAAGGACAGCAATGACATTGAAGAACCACCAGTATCTCCATCTGGCCCAGGGTTGCTGGGCTGGCTGTGCAGGATAACAGCCTTGTCAGCCAAGGGCGTGGGACGGGGCTCCAGCCTTTCCCACTGCACAGTTATCAGGGCTGGTGGTATCGCAGGTCTAACTCTGCCGTGAGTCTGGTGTGGGAACGTACAGGCAGAGGGAGGTTGGACTTAGGGGTGTATGCATGTCCACCTGTCTTCTGCAGCTTCCTGAATCTCCACAGTAAATGATAGGAGAAATCTGGCTAAAGTAGTAACTCTGGAAAATGGATCATTGCAAATTTTAAGTAATACATATATTTACAGTATTGCCTTTTCTTACCCCTTTCTTCCTCCACAGCTACAAGACTCACTGTCATGTCCATCCCTGTATTACATTCAGAAATCTAGCTCTTCTACAGTAAAGCCTATATCATCAAACCTAGCTTATACTGGGCTAAATCCTCTCAGGTGGCTAACCAGAATGACTACTCAGAATGAAAAAGGGTTGTAAGTCAGGTCTGATTTGTCCTCTTTCACCCACGACAAAACTTTTTTTCCTGCATCATCCTAAATTTCTGTGTGGTTTATTTTCTTTCTTTTCTTCCTCCC